GACAAGAGGGGAGAGAGGGGGGAGAGGGTTGTGTTTTCTCCAAGGTGGGTGGGGGGGGGAAGATTAAAAATAGACGGTGTGCTTTTATATTTAAGCTCGCTTTATAGATCTATAGATCTTATATAGATCTTATATAGATCTATAGATCTTATATAAATCTTATCCCGGCACAAATCTGTACCCGGCGGTCTCGGAGCAAGTCAAAACACAGTTTGTCCCTGTCCCCCCCCGCACACACTCACACACACACACACACACGAAGTTCAGCTCTTGCACTTACACACGTGTCGGTGTGACACCACTCACCTTCTAGCTGCGGGGGGCAGTGGAAGTAGAACATGGCCCTGGGGCTGGGGGGGCCACCGCTGCCCTCCCCTGCGAGCCCGGTGGCTACCGGGGCCGAGGCAGGGGCCAGTCCGCGGGGCGCGGGGCTTCCGCGGCTTCTCCCGCACCCCCGGGCACCGGTTCCCCAACCGGGCACCGCCGAGGTGTCTCCCGCCGACCTGAAGGCACAGAGAGAAGGAAAGAAGGGAAAAAGTGAATAACCGGGAGAAAACACCCAAAGAAACTCCCTGTCAGTCCGAGATCCCAGCCCGGAGGAAGCAGAGAAAAAGTACTGTCTGACCCCGCGCAAAGAAAGGAAAAAGCCCAAGGCAGAAAACTCCAGGGTAGGTGCACAGGAATCAAATCAGTAAAACTTTCTTGCTTTTCTTTGGTTTTCTTTTCTTTTTCTTTCTTTTTTTTTTTTCCCCACCCCCGAATAGCAGGGTGTCTATCTCCTGGTCTTCCTTCTCTATCTCTCTCTCTCTGTCTCTCCTTATCTATCTCTCTCTCTCTTTATCTCTCTAATTATTTCAATTATTCCTTACCGGCGCAATAAAGATAAAAAAAAATATTTATAGCGAAGAATGAACCGGTTTTGGTGGGGTTTTTTTTGGTTTTGTTTTGTTTTTTTAAAAAAATAATCTAAATCACTCTGCCTAAATGAAACAGCAATAAAACCTAAAAGCTGTCTTCTTTTTGAAGCATCCAACGCACCTGGAGCTGCGTTCGGGTTGGAAACCAAAGTCCTC